GCTGGACTATATGAAGAAGAACAGGATATTGCGATTGGAGGAAGACTCATTAACAACCTGTGTTATGCAGATGACACAACCTTCCTTGCTGAAAGTGAAGAGGACTTGAAGCACTTACTGATGACGATCAAAGACTATAGCAGTCAGTATAGATTACACCTCAACACAAAGAAAAAAACAAAAATCCTCATAACTGGACCAATAAACATGATAAACGGAGAAAAGATTGAAGTTGTCAAGGATTTCATTTTACTTGGATCCACAATCAACACTCATGGAAACAGCAGTCAGGAAATCAAACAGCGTATTGCATTGGACGAATCTGCTGCAGAAGACCTCTTTAAAGTGTTCAAAAGTAAAGATGTCACTTTGAGGACTAAAGGTGCCCCTAAACGAAGCCATGGTATTTTCAATTACTTCATATGCATGTGAAGGCTGAACAATGAATAAGGAAGAGTGAAGAATTGATGCCTTTGAATTACGGTGTTGGTGAAGAATATTGAATATACCATGGACTGCCAGGAGAATCAGCCAGAATGCTCCTTCGAAGCAAGGATGGTAAAACTTTGCTCACTTATTTTGGACATGTTACCAAGAGAGACAAGTTCCTGGAGAAGGACATCATACTAGGCAAAGAAGAGGGTCAACAAAAAAGAGGAAGACCCTCAGCGAAACAGATTGACAGTGGCCGCAATAATGTGTTTAAACATTCTGAGGATGGTGCGGAACTGGGCAACATTTCCTTCTGTTTTGCACGTGGTCACTGTGAGTCAGAAGCAACTTGATAGCACCTAACAACAACAGCTCTAGAAATACAATTTTATAGATACTGCTTTTAATCGTGTTAGATTTCTTAACAGCTACTCTGTCCTATAGGGCCACTATGAGTCGGAATTGACTCGACGGCAATAGGTTTGGGTTTTGGTATACCTTGCTTACAGTCAAGTAGATTCCAGAGGCTTCCTCCCCTCCACCACAATTAGGTCTTTCTCATCCTATTCTTGTTATCTAAACACACAATCAAATATATAAATAGATATACATTATTTTTCTCTGCCCACTGCTCCTTCTTTTGGGGAGCAACTCCTTCTCCATTACATGTGGCTCTGGTGGGGCTGTCAACCTCAGTTTCTTGCCCTGTCTCCTCTATAGGGATGAACATGTGAGCCAGGCCTGATGAATCATATCACCTTGTATCCCTGGCAACAGCTAAGCATAAGGCCAAAGAATCTTTCTCTGTAATTGAATAACAACAAATTCTCTTTTGCTGGTTGTCCTCAGCTAAGAAAATGTACGCTTAGGGCTACAAGAGACATGTTTTCCAGCTGCATTGAGAAAGCCCATTTGCAGAAACCAGTCCCTGATGGGGAGAGCAGATGTAAGAGACATCAATGTAAGAAGAAATTGAGTACCAGTACATTCACTGAACCCTGAATCCAGCTCTGCCTGAGGTAATAAACATCTTTTGTTTAAGCTAGTTTGATAGTTTTTTGCCACTTCCAAGTGGCTAAGTCCTGACTAACAATAACCCTCTAAAAAAATTAGAATGAAAGCAATACATTTTAATTGTGAAAACAGGGAAAAGTAAAAAGCAGACAAATCATTCCTAATCCTATTGTTTAGTTATATAAAAATGGTATTATACCTTGCTGACTTTTTCTTTGTGGTTGTGTGGTAGATTACAAAATATGGCCACAAATTCCTCCATCTAGTTTGCATGCCCCTTTGTAATGTGAGTTTGCTGCTCTTTTTATGCAGAGGTGGAGTTTATTTCCCTACTCCTTGTATCTGAGCTAGCCTCTTGACTTGTTTTGAGCATTAGAATGCAGCAGAAGAGGTGTACATGACTTCCAGTGCTAGGCCTTGAGAGGCCTTCCAGCTTCTGCTCTTACCCTCTTAGAAGAGAGGGTGTCTTAGTCATCTAGAGCTGCCATAACAGAAATACCACAAGTGGATGGTTTTAACACAGAGAAATTTATTCTCTCACAGTCTAGTAGGCTAGAAGTCCACATTCAGGGTGTCAGCTCCAGAGGAAGGCTTTCTCTCTCTGTTGGCTCTGGAGGAAGGTCGTTGTCATCAATCTTCCCCTGGACTAGGAGCTTCTCTGCACACGAACCCTGGGTCCAAAGAACACACTCGGCTCCTGGTGCTGCTTTCTTGGTGGTATGAGGTCCCCTACTCTCTGCTTGATTTCCTTTCATCTCTTGTAAAATAATAGGTGATGCAGGCCACACCCCAGGGAAACTCCCTTTACCTTGGATCAGGGATGTGACCCCAGCAAGGGTGTTAAATCCCACCCTAATCCTTTTTAACATAATCTAATCTTGCCTCATTAACCACAGGCAGAGATTAGGATTTACAACACATAGGAAAAGGACATCAATCACAAAATGGAGGACAACACCACAATAGTGGGAATCATGGCCTAACCAAGTTGACATATATTTTTGGGGGACACAATCCAATCCATGACAGAAGGTCATGAAGGAAAGCCAGTCTAGCATTCTGGAGGAAGCGACCACATGGAGGAGAAAAAGACAGCCCAGCACACAATCAGCCCTACTGCCAAGCACGTGAGTGAGGTCATCCTGAAGGACCCAGCTCTCAGCCCAAATGAAGTCAGCAGACGACTGCCCAACTAATCCACTGTGATGGTTAAGTTGTGTGTCAACTGGACTAGACCATGATTCTCAGTGGTTTGGCAGTTGTATGATGTTGTGATCACTTCCATGATGAGATCTGATATATGTGATCACCTCCATGATGGGATCCACTGTGAGTAGCCAATCAGTTGAAAGGGAGTTTCCTTGAGCTTGTGGCCTCCATATGTGTGGACATTCTGGCAAGGCCTGTAGGCTTTTGCTTGTTCTGGATCCTGCAGCTGGCTCCTGTTCATCTGACCTCCGGTTCTTGGGACTTGAGGTAGTAGCTTACCTATGGTCTTGCCTGCTAATCTTGGGATTCATTGATCTTCACAGTCCATGAGCAAGAGTCCTGCTCTACGACCTGCTGATCTTGGGTTCGTCAGCCCCTGCTGCTACATAAATCAGGAGATGCCTCTATCCTGACCCACAGACTTGGGACATTCCAGCCTCTACAATCACATGAGCCATTTTCTTTATCTAAATCTCTCTTTATATACACTTATACATTTTGCTGGTTTTGCTTTTCTAGAGAACCCAGCCTAAGACATCCACAAAATCATGAGATTTAATAAATTTTAGTTGTTTTCAACCACTAAGTTTTGAGGTGGTTAATTTTGCAGCAAAAGCTAACTGAAACAGATGGTGCCCTGCATTTTTCATGTAACTGCATATCACCATTTCCCCATGGTATTAAGTATTTACTATGGTTCTTTCCCCACCCCATCTGTTTGTAGTATGGTGGTGGCTTGCATGTTGCCTGGATGCTAGAAGCTATGCCTCCAGTATTTCAAATACCAGCAATGTGACCCATGTCACAGTGGAACTTTCAGACTAAGAAAAGACTAGGAAGAAAGGCCTGGTGATCTACTTCTGAAAATTAGCCAATGAATATCTTATGGATCACAATAAAATAACGTCCAGCACAGTGCCTTCCCCTAGGTTGGAAGGCACTCAAAATACACAGTGACCACCATAATGGACTCTAGCACAACAATGGACTCTAGCACACAAATGATCCTGGGGATGGCTAAGGATGGGCAGTATTTCCTTCTGTTGTGCCTGGAGTTGCCATGGGTTGGGAGTGGACTCAATGGTAACTAGCAAAAACTGCAAGCTTCTTTTGGTTGCAAACATCAGAAACCAACCCTGGCCAGCTTAAACAAAAGGGAAATGCATTAGAATGTTCCTGGGATACCTCAAGTAACAGAAGGCAAAGCGGGGGGCGGGGGCGGGATCAGGGTTGCTGTGGGGATGTCAGCAGCAGTGCCAGGCAGTTCTCTCCAGAAAACTCAACACCATCCAGGGCCAATGATGTCTGGACTGTTTCTGGACTGCTAACTTCAAGTTCTCAGAACATCTGACCTGTCCAACTTGGGCCAGTGTCCACCTCAGCACCATCTAACAATGGCACGGGTGGGGAGGCAAGACCACAGAGACAGAATTGAAAAAAGCAGTCGAAGGTGTGGAAATCCCAGTGTGGAAGGCAGAAACGGGGTAACTCATGGCCTAGGTTTTTAATGGCTTTCTAATGGCTTAAATATGTTTTGATTTTTTAATACTTTGTTCCTCTCAAATCTTTTTGGAGCTACTGTATCAAGGTGCCTCTTAAAAAGGGAGAATTAGTGAGGGGCCACTTTTGAAACTGTAACGACAACGCAGGCAACGTTGTATACTTCCGCACAGCTCAACTGAAACACACGGTTTTCGTGCAACCGGGTCTCAGAGTGAGCAGCGCTGCAGTTTTAGTCAATATTTTAAAATAAGTGTGAGGAGTAGACAAGAAAGGAGTTGCACTAAAACATGAAAACGTGTTAAAGCCAGAGTAACAGGTGTGTGAACAGAGAGGAAGGAAGAGCTGAAGAGCAGACTTTGAATGGCGTCTGTGAAATGCGAACAGACGCAAATTCGTCGGAAGAGGACACGGGCAGTGTTGCTCACAGCCACAGCTTGAGGGGCGGAGACTCCACAGTTCACTCCGGACAAGCCGATCCCAAGACTCCTGAAGTGGGGGCGGGGCAGAAGAGCATCACTCCTACGCTGACGGACGCCTCCCGCAGTGTGATGGGTGCCTGGGGCAGTGCCTATTGGGACTTGGGGTGAACAGGCGCCTCAAATGTGTGCGCCAGGGACTTCGGCCTGGGACTTCCAGGCGTGACAGTCTAAATCCAGGTGCGCGCCCCTTTCCACTGAAGCAGCCGCCACGACTTGGCTGCCGCCCCCTAGGCGAAGGGTGGAGTGGGCTGGGGGCCGGGGAAGCGCGCCGAGGGAGGCGTTTGTTCCCTGAGGGATTTAGGGGGCGCTTTCGCTCTCAGCAGCAGGAACATCTGCCTCCGCGCCGCGCCATCAGCGACATCTTGCTCGGGAGGAAAGCGATGGGGGAACGCAGGCCGCGCTGAGCTGCTGCTCCCATCGCGCCGCGGCTGGGCCTGCAGGACCGCGCGCGGGGGCCCGCAGGGAAGGTGCTAGAGCCGGAGGAGGACGAGGTAACAGTCCCGCCGCCCGGTTCCCCTCCCGTCCCCCGCCCTAGCTTGGAAGGACGCAACAGAGGCCTCGGGGCTCCCCGCGGCGCCCTTCCCCCGCCCCGCGACGCTCGCCCCCTGGGCCTCTCCTCCCACTTCCTCCCGCCCCCTGGCCCGCGCCCCAGGCTGCCTGCTCTCCTCTGTCCGCCCCGGTGGCCTGCGGCTTCTGACCTCGGCGCGGCGCCGGAGGTACCACTTCCCCCGCAGCCGGCCCCGCCCGCGCCCCTTGTGCCGGGAGCTGGCCGCCCCTTTCTGGACCCCGCCCGCCGCGTTCGGGATAGGGAGGG